CCATCATATCATAGCAAAAGTCTTAACTCCAAGTCCAAAATCCAAAAATTCCTCTTCATCTGTGAAATCTAGAATACAAGTTATCTGTTTCCAAGGGTACAATGACAGAACATGCATAAGCTAGACATTTCCATTACAAATGGGAGAAATTGCAGGGAAAGAAGTGATAACAGGCACCAAGCAAGTCAGCAGAACACATTACCATTAGCCCTCAAGGCTTTGAAAATAATCCTCTGTTCTCTGAGACAATTTACACAATAGCCCTGCCCTCCAGACTCTAGGTATTGGCCACAGTCTCTGGATTTTGAGTGGAGGCCCCTTGGCCCCGGGCTTCAGCTCCGCCTTCCAGGCCCACTGGGACGGCAACTCTGCTCCCTTGGCTTTAGGCGCACCATTCTCCTAGTCCATCAGAATGACAACTCCCCCCTTAGAAACACCAGAGGCCATGGCTCCACCCTTTGAGACCACTGAGGTCATGGCCATACCTTTTGAGACTGAAGCAGCTTGGCTTCTTGTGTCTCTTGTCTCTTCAGTTTCTGCTTCTGTTTCCTGTGGCCTCTTGGCCCTTGGGCCTCACGCCCCCACCTGCCCTGCTGGGGCAAGTGTTCCAAATCTCAGTAGCTCCACCGGTAAGTGCCTGGAGGTACCCAACTCTGACAGAAAGCCTCGTGCACACAGACATTCAGCTCTCTCGCTCCGTGGGTCGGCAAGCCTAGCTCTACCGATGAGTGCCCAGAGGCACACCACTCCGCCAGGAACCCTCGTGCACACAGGCACTCAGCTCCCTCGCTCCGTGGGTTGGCAAGCCTTAGATCCACTGATAAGTGCCCAGAGGCACCCCACTCTGCCAGGAAGCCTCCTGCTCACAGGCATTCAGCTCTCTCGCTCCGTAGGTCGGCTCCATTGCTGTCTTTCACTGGTCTCCTGGTTCTGCTGCTGTTGGTTCTCTGCTGCTGCTGCTTCTGTGCTGCTGCTGGTCCTCTGTCACTGCCATACGTCTATCCATTCACAGTTTTAAAACGCTTCCACATTTTAGGTATCTGTTAGAACAGCACCCCACTCTCTTGCTACCAAATTCTTAGTCATCTAGTGCTGCTATAACAGAAATACCACAAGTGGATGGTTTTAACGAAGAGAAGTTTATTTACTCACAGTCAAAGTAGGCTAAAAGTCCAAATTCAGGGTGTCAGCTCCAAGGGAAGTCTTTTTCTCTCTGTCGGCCTTCGCATCAGTGTTCCCGCGGACTAGGAGCTTCTTGGTGCAGGGACCCGTCCAAAGGACGTGCTCTGCTCCTGGCACTGATTTCTTGATGGTATGAGGTTTCCTAAATGTTTTTTTTTTTTAAATTGTGCTTTAGGCGAAAGTTTACAGAGCAAATTAGTTTCTTATTAAACAATACACTATCCTAATCATCTAGTGCTGCTCTAACAGAAATACCATGAGTGGATGGCTTTTTACAAAGAGCAATTTATTCTCTCAGTCTAGTAGACTATAAGTCCAAATTCAAGGCATCAGCTTCAGAGGAAGACTTTCTCTGTCGGCTCTGGAGAAGGGTCCATATCATCAGTCTTCCCTTGGTCTGGGAGCTTCTCTGCGCAGGAACCCCAGGTCCAAAGGACGGGCTCTGCTCCCAGCACTGCTTTCTTGGTGGTATTAGGTTCCCCTGTGTCTCTCCTCTCTTTTCTCTTTTGTATCTCAAAAGAGATTGGATCAGTGTAACCTCATCATAGTGATAGAGTTTACAACCCATAAGGAAATCACATCAGATTTACAAAATGGTACATAATCATATAATACTGGGAATCAGGACCCAGCCAAGTTGACAGATATTTTTGGGGGGACACAATTCAATCCATGACATACACAAATTGTTTCGTGACATTGGTTGCCAACCCCATGAGATTATCAACACTCTCCCCTTCTCGACCTTGGGTTCCCCATTTCCATTCATCTAGTTTTCCTGTCCTTTCCTGCCTTCTTTTCTTTGCTTTGGGCTGATGTGCCCATTGAGTCTCGTATACATGGTTGAACTACACGATATTGTTTGTTTTATAGGCCTGTCTAATCTTTGGCTGAAGGGTGAACTTCAGGAGTGACTTCAGTACTGATTTAAAAGGGTGTCTGGGGGTCATACTCTTGGGGTTTCTCCAGTCTCAGACCAGTCAGTCTGGTCTTTTTTTGTGCATTTGAATTTTGTTCTACATTTTTTCCCGCTCTGTCTGGGACCCTCTATTTTGATCCCTGTCAGAGCAATCGATGGTGGTAGCTGGGCACCATCTAGTTGTTCTGGACTCAATTGTGTGAACATTCTTGATGTGGGGATTTAGTGATTGATTGTAGGCCAGGTCAACCTCAGAGTCCTTGAAATGTAAGTTGACCATTTGGTCAGGAAGGAGATTAGATCAACTTCCACCTAAAGTCTTTTGAAATGTAAACAGGGCCATCTAGCTGGGATGGAGTGAGTTTGAGCCTAGGTATTCACTGGATGAATTGCCTGAGAGCAGTTAAGATAGCAAGATTATTTACATAAGCTAAGGCCCAGATCTCTGCACTTGTGTCACGGTCAAAACTTTCACAAGAGGCCAAACTGTCTTTGAAGAATGGCAGGGGCAGGCTTCAACCCTAGTTGCAGCTTAATTCAAAATGAAGTTTGAGTTTAGGTCTGGGGTTAACGATTTTAATCATGCCGTGCAACCCATTTTAAGGTTTGCTTATTCAGCCCTTTTGACATGTCCCTATCATTCTTTGAGCACTTCTTTATCTCTGGCACAAGATATCCCAGGTCTTTCTCTCTTTATTTGAATTGAATATAATTTACAAACAGTACAGTGAACAGGTCTGAAGTGTACAGTTCAAAGAGTTTTCACAAATGCATAAATTCATGCAACTCACACCCCTAACAAGACACAGAAAAATTTAAACACCCCAGGAGTTTCTCCATTTTGCCCTTTCTTAGATAACCCTCATATCTTTCCCACCACACCTGCCTACCAGCAACCATTGTTCTGATTTCTACCACCACAGATTAGTTATGTCTGCTCTAGAACTTTATATAAATGCAGTCATATAGTATATATTGTTTCATGTCTAATTTCTTTTACTGAGCATGCTTTTTTTGGGATTTAGCCAGGTTTTGCATGTATCAGTAATTCACTCTTTTTATTGCTGAGTAGCACTCCACTTATGAATATACCACAATTTGTTTATCCTTTTAACTGATGATAGATACTAGGTTGTGCTATGAACCTTGTTGTACAGGTCATCTTGTGTACATATATTTTCCTTTCTCTTGGGTAAATTCCAAGGAGTAAGGTAAGTGTATGTTTAACTTTATAAGAACTGCCAACCTGTTTTCCACTAGTAACATAAGAAATTTTGGTTACTTCACATATTTGCCAACAATTGGTTTCTTAGTCTTTTTAATTTAAGCCATTGCAATGGATGTTAAGTGATATTTCATTGTGGTTTTAATTTGCATTTCCCTGATGACTAATGATGTTGAGCATCTTTTTGTCTGCTTCTTTGCCATTAATATATCTTCTTTTGTGAAGTACAATAAAATCTTTTGCCCATTTTGTTATTGAGACTTATTTATTTTTTTATCATTGAGTTGTAGGAATATGTATCATAAAAGTCCTTTCTTTGTCAGATCTAGTGTGATTTTTTCTTTTCTTAATGATGTCTTTTGTTGAGAAAATTTTAATTTTGATGAGGTCTTGGTTTGGTTTGGTTTGGTTTTGTGGTTACTGCTTTCTGTGCCTTTGTCTCCTGGCTGCTAACAAAAAGATCAGCGATCTGAACCCACCAGCTGCTCTGCAAGAGAAAGATGTGGCAGTCTGCTTCTGTAAAGATTTACAGCCTTGGAAACCCTGTGGGGCAGTTCTACTCTCTTCCATAGGGTCACTATGAGTTGGAATTGACTCTGCAGCAGTGGGTTTAGTTTTTTTTTCTCTTTGAGTTGTGATTTTCTGCATAACACAATCATGTCATCTGTGATTAAAGATAGTTTTTACTTCTTCCTTTCCAATCTTTATGCCCTTTATGTTTTTGTCTTAATTGCACAGTCTAGGACCTATAGTATAATGTTGAATCTTAAGGGGAAAATATTTAATATTTCACCACTAAGTATGATGTTAGCTGTAGATTTTCATAGATGCCATTTATTAGGTTGAGGAAGTTCCCTTTTGTTCCTAGTTTTGCATTATTATCTTTCTCTTGACTCTAATGGGAATGTCCCTAACAGCTTGCTGCTCAGTCTAGTGCTGTTTTGATAGGGATACCTCTTTAATGTTGTGGAGTCAGCCCTCGACTCATGACAGCCCCCTACTCAATGGAATGAAATGCTGCCCAATCTGGCATCATCCTCCTGATCAGTTGCAGATTGGACTATTGTGATCCATAGAGTTTTCATTGCTGATTTTCAGAAGTCGATTGCAAGGTTTTTCTTCCTATTCCATCTTAGTCTGGAAGCTCTGCTGAAGCTTGTTCAGCATTATAGCAACACGCAAGCCTCCACTGACAGATAGGTGATAGCTGCGCATGAGGTGTGATGGGTAGGAATCAAACCTGGGTCTCTTGCATGGAAGGTGAGAACCACCACTGCCTCACTTTTTCATATTAGGTTTCTTCATATGATAAAAGTTGTAACTCCAGTGTTCATGGATTAAGACAATTCATTCTGAAAAATCTACTCTAAATTCAACCAAACTTGAAGTGAATGTATTTTTTATTAATCAAAACATCAATTTACATTTAAAAAATAGTTCTTCATACATTTGCTTTGACAGCCTCTTACAGTAGTTCTACTGACAACAGATTCTGTTTAATTTTTTCTGAAATATTATTATAACAATAATAATATAACCTTGAAGGGAAATTTAAAAATTCACCTGTAATCCCACTGCTTATCAGCTGGAGGAGGGTACTGAGAGATGGAAGCAGGGAACCCCATCCTGGTCTCCAGCAGCCCAATGACCCCCATTTTGATCCCCATCTTTCAGGGAGACGACTTCGAGGGAAGGCATTCTACAACGTGGGTGAGAAAGTGTACTGCCAGGAGGACTTCCTGGTGAGTCAAAGGTGTGCCCCTGGCTTGTGCCATGAGGGGCGCCAGAGGTGGGGGACCCTCCTTCTGATTCATATGGACACCTGAGGCCAGGAGTCAGTGCTGGCTGGGAAATCAGTGCCCCTTTGTCACTTAACATCCTGAATCTTCTGTCCTCTTCCAGTACTCTGGGTTCCAGCAAACGGCTGACAAGTGTAGTGTGTGTGGACACCTCATCATGGAGATGGTGAGAACCTCCCCCCAGCCTCCTGGAGCCCCTACCCCTCTGACCTGGGTGGAGTCTGAGGACCCCATCCTTTCACCTGTTCCAGACCTGCCAGGGGCTCAGCCCAGAGCCTCTTCCACCTGCATTGACCCTTCAGTGCCTCCCACCCTCAGATCCTCCAGGCCCTTGGGAAGTCCTACCACCCGGGCTGCTTCCGGTGCTCTGTGTGTAATGAGTGCCTGGACGGGGTGCCCTTCACTGTGGACATGGAGAACAACATCTACTGTGTCAGAGACTATCACGCGTGAGTAGTTGGCCCTGCAGAGCAGGTGGGATTCATGCTGACTCCTCTCTTCCCCTTGAAGCATTTTTCTGGCCAGACTGCCTGCCTGTGTTCTTCCGTTCTTGGTCTTTTCACAGACAGCACAAACGAAGGCACTTCCGGTCTTCCCTTGTGATACCTCTGTGCTGGGGGCAGGGCACCCATCTCTGCCTCGAGCTCTCTCTCAGGTGGTTGGGCCACCAGCATTTTCTTTACTCTCCTCTCCCTGCCTTTTCCCGGTTGCTCACCTTCTCCTAGTGGTGGGGATTCTACTAGCTGCCCTCCCAGCTTCCATTCCTCTGCTCCCAGGGCCAGGCAAGGCCCTTTGCACCTGGGATGAGGGCTTGGGGTCTCTGTGGATCCTTTCTCCTGCCTGTTACCCATGTGGGCAGCCAAGCCATTCGCCCTTGTTGTGGCTCTAGGCTCATCAGAGCTCTTGTCCTGTGCATGGGGTTGGTGCTGGGGCAAAGGTCCCTGGTGCTCAGGGTGAAACCAGGCTTTGCAGGGGTCTCATTAGAGGGCGGGAAACTCACAGGAAGCATGAGAGAGGGCAGAGTAGAACCCGAAGCCATTCTGGAAAAGATGACAGGGTGGAGGTGTACTGGGGAGCCAGATCAAAGGCCCCTGCTAAGAAGGCATGGGAAGAGGGCTCAATGCTTGGGCAATTTCATGGGGCTACTGTGGGTGGACATGTCCTTGTGCCCTTGTCCTCTGATCACTCAGCTGGTGACTTCTGGTTTCCTTTATTTCTCCAGGGTTTTTGCACCAAAATGTGCCTCCTGTGCCCGCCCTATCCTCCCTGCACAGGTAGGAACCACTCACCCGGAGATGTGCAGGTGCCTGGTCCTTCCTGGGTCGGCCCCAGGTCTGGAGCCAGTAGGGTGCTGAGCAGGTGCTCCTGTCCCATATCCCTCAGGGCTGAGGAATGTGTGTTGTGCCCCGGCACTCAGGCGTGGGGGTCCCTGGGAGGAGTCAGAGGGAGGCCGCCCCATTGCTGCTCTCAGCACCATTCTGCAGTGACATAGGGCTGCTCCCTGAGGATTGTGGGGGAGCAGACAAGAGAAGGTGTGGATTGTGCAGTAGAGCCCTGGGTGGTGCAGCCCTCTCAGGCACCGGCTCATCCTGGCCGTGCCAGCTTTCTCCCAGGCTGGCGTGCCCAGGGAAGTGGGAGCAGCAGTGGTCTTTCCTGACTCCGGAGAAGTGAAAATAACATGTACGCACACTTTCACCCACATTCACAGCCGGTGACGGCTCTGAGTGACACCTGTGCACCCTCGGGGCTGCAGCCACGACTGTGCCTCAGGTACATGCACATCCTCTCACGAGGACCCACTGGTGTCTGTTCCAGCCCCCATGGAACACCCACGTGAGCGCTCACACGGGCACAAGTGCGCAGCCACCAAGGCACGAGCAGGTTGGGTAGGCGTGTGCTCCTACGCGGAGCTCGCCTGAAGCCTTGGCAAATGCTGTCTCTTTCTCCAGGGCTGCGAGACCACCATCCGGGTGGTGTCCATGGACAGAGACTACCACGTGGAATGTTATCACTGTGAGGTAAGCCTGGCTCCTCCTGGAAGGCTGGTGGCTGGGGAACCCCCTCCCGCACAGGTCTCCTTCTCCCTAGGAGTTCTGTGGGCCCAGCTCCCCTTTTCTGACTTCTACTCCATTCTACCTGTCTTTCCCCCGTTAGCCTCTTCCTTCTCCTTGTTTTTCATTCAATCACGTATTTGCTGAGTGTTTACAGCATGTGTGCTGGGGATGTAAGGGGAAATAAGACAGTCCCCATTGTCATGGGAGAGATGAGTGCTCAGGAAATACCCACACACTGTGATCAGTCCTATTAAGGGAGCCTTGGAAAATCAGGGCAAACTTCCTGGAGGAGGTGATATCCAAGCTAAGATTGATGGATGAATAAGAGTTAGCCATCAAGTGAGGGAGAAGGGCATTTCCAGGCACTGAAAGCAAATGTGTTTAGGTGCCAAGGTAGTTGTGTGGTTTTGGGTCCACCAGAGAAATTGGCAGGAACTGGTGGCAAAAGGCCACGTGAGCTGCAGAGTGTGGACTTAACCTTGAGGGCAATGGAGAATAATAAAACAGGGATGATCAGACTGGATTTGGGCTTTAGAAAGGGCACTCACTGCCAGTACAGAGAATAAATCAGAGGTGGAAGACGGGGGGTCGGGGGATCCCTGCGGAGGTACACAGTGTGAAAAGAGTTCTGCATCCTGGCCAGGCTGATGGGCTGAGTCAGGGCTGTGCTCCTGGGTTCTGGGAAGTGGATTGATTTAAGCCCTGGTTAGGCAGTAGAAGGGACTGGATTTGCTGAGCACCTGGATGAGGGGTTGGGGGTTGGGAGGTGTCTTTCAGGAATCCAGGAGAGAGGCAGAGCGAGAGGAGGAGGGGATAAGATGCTCTCATTTTCGGTAGCTGGAGACATCTAATGGAAATGCCCAGTAGGCAGTTAGATGCTCTGGAGCTCAAAGAATCTGGGCTACTGCTATAGGAATTTGGGAGTCACTGGCATATAGCTTTCTCCTCTCTGCTACTCTGCCGCACGAATTCTGGTTGCCTTGACTTCTCAACTCAAGGAGACCACTGGGCTCTGGCTTCCTCTCTTGCAGCATGGAAACTCTCTAGGCAGTAAGTTGGGGCCGTCATAGGGCTCACCTCATTTGTTCCCTCTTTCTCAGAGATCACTAACCTTGCCTGTTGTCCATGGTCTGAAAATCATTGTTTTGTGTATTGATTTTGCTCTGACTTTTAGTTGTTTAAGGTGGGAGGGCTAATCCAGTCCTCTTAGTCCGTCATGGCCAGAAGCAGGAGTCCCAGCATGGCATGTCGATGGCAGCTGAAGCCAGGGGATTAAGAGCTTCCAGGGAGAGTTGGAGAGGAAGGAGCGGGGGCTCAGGGTAGCCCTTGGAGCACCAGTATTTAAGGAGTGTCTAGAGGCAAAGCAGCTGCAGAGGGAGGCTGAGAAGGAGTGAAGAAGTAGGAAGAAAACCAAGAAGAGCTTGTCTGAGTACAGAGCCCCAGGGAAGAGCAGGAGGATGCATCCATGAGGACTCTTCAATAGGGATCATGGATCAAGGGGGGGAGCGGCAAGGGGCCCAATGGGAAATCCTGCTGGGGGCCAGGGGAGAAGGCTGAGGAGCGGGCATGGCCTGCAGGTGTCCACGGTTCCCCTCTGACGGGGTGAGTGGATGGGAGAGACAGTCACAGGGCACCAGTCTCCCTTTGCTTGCTCTGCAGGGTATCGTGTTGTCCTGGGGACTGCAGCTTCCCCTTAGTGAAAGGGTGATGTTGAGAGTTAAGGAGCATGGCCTCAGCTGCTAGCGGCTGCTCCACGGAGGGAGACAGACTCCTCGAGGGAATCCATCCTGGACAGACTTCGCCTGAGCCCCTGTGAGCCACAACCCTGGGGGCTGTGAGACCAGGTGCTCTGTCCCCCAGGGAGGCTGTGGGACGGGAACTGGGGTCTCCAGGCCCCCTCTGCCTGCCCCTCTCTGGTGTCTAGCAGTTAGTAGCAGGGCTCAGGCAGTGTCTGTGGATGGACGTGAGGCCATGACTCCATGCAGCAGCCCAGCTCCATTACCCTTGATGGTGGGTTGGGTGCCGGTCTCAGGGTCTTTGGGTAACAAGTCTTAAAACTGTAAGGCAGAGTTTAGCTGTGAAGGCAGTGAGTGTAACCAAAGAGCCACCTTGGCAGGGGGAAGGGGAGAGGAGGGGTACAAAGGAAGGAAGGAAAGTTGTCCAGCTGGTCTCCCCAGGTGCCCAGAGATTCTGATGGCATGTCCTTCCTGGCTGCCCTTCACACTTTGTCAGTTATTTACAAAGGTCAAATAAAGATAAAATCACTTGTTAAACAGAAAATTAACTAATAAAAAATAGTGCAGTGGTAAAATGGTAAGATGGAGGACATAGAGCACAGCCCCTGTATACTCTCTCTCTCTCTAATTCCGCTCTCCCCATTCTCGAGGCCTCTCTGCTCAGGCATTTGCCCACACTTGCCAAGTTCACCGCATCGCCTCTGGCGGAATCGGCCAGACAGTCCTCAGTTGTCATCTTCCTGACCACATAGAGCTTTCCCACAAGCTGGCCGTGCCTCCGTAACGTACTTTCTTCACTTTGCCTTAGGAACACCAATTTTTGGTTTCTTCATTTCCCTTCAAATCCCCTTTGCTCAGTTTTTCCTCTTCTTTCCATCTCTTAATGTCTGACGAATGCTCCAAGGCTCGGCTCTTTGTCGGCTTCTGTTTTTATTTACCTTTCTTTCCTCCCTGGTAAATGTAGTAATCTGTTGTTTTGTCCTTGAAAGCTGTCAGTGTGCTGACATCCACATGTGCCTCCGGCCCCCTCTCCAGACTCCAGAGTGTATCAGCGACCTTCCTCAGTGTCTCCTCCCGGATGTCTGAGAGGCGTCTGGAATCCCGTGTGTCCAGCACTGGGCTCCTGAGCCTCCCCCTCGAAGAGTAAAAGCCCAGGTCCTCCCCTATCACTTCCGATGTGCCCTCCCGTGACCTCCCCTTACTCTGGGTTCCTGCTGTGTTCTTCCTCAGGACTGTGGGCTGCAGCTGAGCGGGGAAGATGGACACCGCTGCTACCCACTCGAGGGCCACCTGCTGTGTCGCCGCTGCCATCTGCTGCGCCTCCGGCCCGGCCCACTTCCGTCGCCTGCGGTGCACGTCACGGAGCTCTGAGCAGGGGCCTGGAGCCCCACCTGGGCTGTGTGTTGCGGGGGGCGGGGGGCAGTGGCGTCAGTAGGGGGACACGGGGGGTGCGGACCGCACCGGGTGACACTGTCAGAGAGGGTGACCCCGCATGGCCCAGAGATACATCCAAGACCAGACTATGCAGGACTTGAGCTGCTCCAGAAAGCTGTAGCCCGCTTCAGCCATGTTTTGGCGTTACTCTGCTGGGATGATTCACTGGCCACAAGCGTCGCTCCTGCCGCCTGGCAGGACGCCCCGGAACTCACCAGTCAGCCCACCTGCCACCCAGGACGCTAACGCAGCGGGAGATTGCGCGTGGGTGGGCCGCGGGTGCGCCTGGCTTCTCCTTTTCCAGCCTCATTGCTAACTCCTTTAAGACCCCTACAAGTGGCTTTCGTGCGGGGATCACGTGGCTCCTGCCCCCTCTGTATGGCCTGGTACGGGAGGAGGTCCATGGGGGGGGGTGACACCAACCCTAGTGATGCCACTGGGGAGGGGGCGGGGCGGGTGGCCGCAGGTTAGCGTTGGAGCGTTGTGTCAGGGTGGGCAGGGCTGTGGTGGCGCTTCCCTCCCGCACGTCCCCCACTCCCACCGAGCCGGTCCGCAGGGGCCGGCCCCCGCAGTATTTATTCACCGCCTGTGCCGCCTCAGGTTGCTGCCTCCCACTTCACCCATCACCGCCTTTCTCTTCGGGCACCCCCTGCGCCCCGAGGCCTCGGGTATTGGCGCCTAGACCGGCCTCCCAGAGGCGCTGGGGTGCAGCGGGCTGCAGCGGGCTGCCTCCGGTCCGGAGCCAGTTTCCCCGGGTTCAGAAGAGGCCGAGACCCCCCCCCCCCAAGAACGTTCCCCGGGGTGGGGTGTGGTCTGCAAGGCGGAAGTTGGCAGAGGGCACGTGTTTGTGTCCCATAAACGCCTCGCCAGCTGGTGGGTGGGAAGGGTATCTTGTTTGAGTAGGGTCACAGGAGGAGGTGGGGAGCGGGGTCAGCAAAAGCTATATCCTGCCTTTGGCCACTGTGGTCACTGTGAGGTTTGCCCGCGGGGACTCCAATGGTGATTTTCAGCCACATCCCGCCCTATTTTCCCATCCCTGGCTCCTGGCTTGAAGACTGCTTCCCTCTTCCCCTCTCCATCCTTCACCGCAAGAGAACCTCCTCCTTCAGGACTCCAGCCACAGGTCTCGGTCAAGAGCGGTCACGAGGGGGCGCCCTGCCCGGGTTTCAGGGAAAACACCTGTTTGTGCGCACTGTGTAGCTGACTTCATAACAAAGGGATATGATTTGACTTAAATTAAGTTTTGCCTTTGAGAATATTTTCATTTTCTTTAAAAGAATATAGTTTTCTTCTAAGTCTAGTCCAAGGTTGTTATTTCTTTAAAAAAAATTACAGGAAACTCGACAAATTTCCAATGTGTATATCATGTAGCTAGTTTTCAGGGGGTAAAAACGTTTGTTGTTTAACTATTTTTGTATAAATTCCTCTAAAATCTCAAAATGTGTGTCTGCCTTTCAGACTTTAGAGTAGTGTGGGGTTTTGTTCTGTGACCCGATGAAATGCAGATTGGGGAAACGTAGATTAGTTTCTCTGTAAAACATGTCAGCCTTGGGAAGCTTGGACTTTTCACTGCATTTTCCCTGCAATTGTGGGTGGCTCCTGCACCAAGAGGCCCCTGATCACGATAAACCATCACAGTGGTGTTCACAGAATCTTTTGACTTGAGTCCATTTGTTCTTTGAGAGCCTGACCTACTTCCTCTTGGCTACTGCTCTCAGCGGGCCTTCCTCCCTCGATTAGAACCAGTACCAGTTGCGGTCGGGTTGACATCTATTCATGGTGACCCCAAGTGAGTCAGGGTAGAATTGTGCTCCGTAGCGTTTTCAATGGCTGGTTTTTCAGAAGTGGACTGCCAGTCCTTTCTTCTGAGGCCTCTCTGGGTGGACTGGAACCTCCAGCCTTTCAGTTAGCCGAGTGTGTTAACCGTTTTCACCACCCAGGGACTCCCCCTGTATGAAAACGGGGTCTAACTGCTTGTAGTATCATCCAGTCAGGGGAGTGAGGCCCTAGGAACAAGAGCAGTTGTCCAGCACTGCCTAATGGGATATACAGGAGGGGACCGCAGGAGAGATGGCAGCCAGCAGGGACTAGCTGGGCTGAGGGCTGGGGCTGGGTGGCCCACTGGTGGGCTGAGGGAGCAGGTACATGAGAAGTTTGGTTGTAGTTTGTCAGGGACTGAAAACAGTGATAAAATAACTGCTGAGATGGGGGAATTACGTGTCTCATTAGAAGGAGACTTCAAAAGGAACAGGGTGGTGGCTTCTTGGAGAAAATGATTCCAACGGGACCAGAGAGAGTGCATTCCAGGAACAGGAGACTCAGTTTCTGGCTTTCTCTTCCTTTTGAGCTGGACTGCCCAACGGTAATAATCCTAACTAATTATTGCAAAGCTTTTTTTCCAGTTCCCCTCTTTTTTGCTTCCTGTGTCATGCCTGCCTTAACTTGGGTTTCTCTTCGTTGCAAACTCAGCCCTTCCTTTTTCTTTTCTTCTGTGTCTGCTGTGGAACAGGCCCTTGATTGTCCATCCCTGGGGATCATGATTGCTCTCCACACCTGCCCCATTTGATAGGTACCATGCACCCCCAACCCAGCTGGACTGAGTCATCACAGCATGGAGCCCCACTTTGGGTCCATGTGGCATACTTTGTCAAAAGTCAGAGCCAAGGGAGCACATGACCCTTTGGGACCCTTTGGGACCTCATCCTTTCTCTGGGCTCTGGAGCTCCACACTGCTTTCTGCCAGGACTGGTGACTGCTACTTTCTTTCCTACCACAGGGTCTTTGCACATGCAGTTCCCTCTGCCTGGAGCCACTCCTTGCCCAATGCTTTAATTGCTGGCCAAATCTGTCAGACCTCAGCTACATAAATGAGTCAGGTACCCTGTTTTTACATCTCACTTTCTGACACCTGTTCATTTTCCAAAAGCCCCATCCATTTTCAGGAGTTATGTTGAACTGATGGTTGTTGAGACTGAGGAAGCAGGTGAGAGCCAGACTCCAAGCCAGGTAAATTGTCCGTGACCCTCCAACCCTGGGTGCCAAAGACCCCTGCCCCTAGGATATTCGCCCTCCTCCAAACGTCAGCCCCTGGTCACACTTGCAAGTGTGTCTTCTCAGCTGGCTCCAGGCACTAGTGTACTTCTGCGTGTCTGAGTAGATGTTCTCTTGATGTCCGTCTCCCTGCTAGATGGTGAGCTTTCCAGGCCAGGTCTTTGTCTTCACAGTGCCTGGTGTATGATTAGTGGCTGTGGCCAGAGCCAGACCCTGCCCTGGCCTTTAGGGTCTTGACTTATTATCCCCCCCACCATTGGTTTGCATGTCCAATTCCAGCCCCAGCTGCCAAACAGAGGAACCACAGGTGGGATCTGAAGGCCCAGGAACAGGGGTTTGCACAGATACTACACACATGTGCATGTCCAAGTGTGGGTATGTGTGTTCCAGGCAGTATGCACAGAAGCATGCTTTTGTGCAAGGGCTTCAATTCAGTCCTCAAGCCCAGAGGCACAGAGCCTTGAGTGCTGGGACTGCTGCCGTGTGTGTGTGTGTGTGTGTGTGTGTGTGTGTGTGTGTGGGTGTGTGTGTGTGTGTGTGTGTGTGTGTGTGTGTGTGTGTGTGTGTGTGTGTGTGAGAGAGAGAGAGAGAGATTGAGATGGGTGAGACAGAGGGAGACGGAGGGAGAATCAGGGAAGAGAAGAGATGGGGGTGGGGAGGGACATGGGAAGAACAAGAGATTTGAGAGAGACATTGAGACTGAGAGACATGGAGAGAGAGATGACGAAAGAGATTGAGGAACATCGTGTGAGAGTTTGAATGAGAGCAATTGTGAGGGAGATATGACAAGAGGGAGAGATGGTGAGAGACATTGTAGGGGAGAGACTTAGAGGAAACTGAGAAGGAAAGACACTGAGAGACAGTGAGCAAGAGGGATAAAAGAGGGGAGAGAGAGAAAGGGAGAGAGAGGCGGGGGAAGAGAGAGAGAGATTCACTGAGAGAGCCTGGCATCCTTTTCCTGCTCCTTCCTAAAAATTCCACTGCCCCAGAACCAGGTAGTGTGGAAGTATTTGGATGGGTTCTCAGCCTAAGTGGCCCCACAAATGGAGAAAGCCCACCTACTGTAAGCGACCAAAGGCTATCGTGTGTGTGCGTATGTGTGTCTTTGAGGGTCCTGTGCTCATGGTACCAGGGTGGGAGGGGGTGGTGCTGACCTCCTCAACCCTGATTCTTTCCTGGTCAGTGCTTCCCACCCCTCTTCGGCCATAAAACATAGATGAGAGCTTGCTGAACTTCAGGTAACCTTGAATGACTCATGTGGTCTTGCTCTGGAGGGGGCTGGGAGGGGTAGGAGTCAGTGTAGTGATATATGGGGCCTGGGAGGGGCTGGACACTGGAATCCACAGCAGCAGAAGACTGGACAGCATGTGGGCCAAGGCCTGACTAGAAGTCCAGGTGGCAGTCAGGGTTGAGAGTGGAGTAAAGCTGTGCTCACCACCATCTCCGCCCACCCCCACCCGCATCCCCATCCCTGAGGCTGGTTTCCAGTTCTATGGGCTCATTGTTATTAGATGCCAAGAAGAGATTCCTTTCTTTGATCAAAAATTGAGTCATGCCTCTAAAGTGTCTGGCAGCCACGAACTAGCCATGCGGCCAGCAGGACTTTAGGTATACACCTGGGAGGTGTGGGAGCTGAGGCGGCTACAGAGGTAGGAGTAGGCTCTGGCCTGTGGGCCTCCAGGAGAGCCTTGGGTTTGGATTTGAGGACAGCTCTGGGAGTAGGAGGAGAGCCTGGGGCGCCAGTGAGCTTCCATCCAGTGTAACTCAAGAGGACCTGTCCCCATGGTGTGTAGGTATCGAATCTGCATGTACCCTGAGTGGGTGTGGTGGGACTTGGTTGGGAGAGGAGTGTGTATATACATGTTTGGGGTGACTGTGGGTGACTG